CTCTTTTCTCTTTTCTCTTTTCTCTTTTCTCTTTTCTCTTTTCTCTTTTCTCTTTTCTCTTTTCTTCTCTGTCTCTCCCTCCATTGGAAGAGGGAACCTCTGAGGGTCGAATGTCTCTGAGTGAACGAATAACATAACCAAAAATGCATAACAATTTTTACTGACTCCCAGTTCCTTTTCTTTGTGTGCTGTATATAATAATAATATGAAGAAATTCTTTTTTGTTCACAAATCATACTTGATTTTTTAATTTCCCCTTCTTCTAACATGTGAAAACCTTATGATTATGATTAGCTTGGAGTTAATGCAATGTTTATGTCCTTTTTTTGAGAAAATATGATACAGTAAATGGATTGAAGAAAAGTAATTTGCTTTTACTCATTTTTTAAATCTTAAAAAACAGTTGTTCTGGTAGTCACATCAACCTTTAAGCATTCACTAATACTGTGTCATTGGATTTCTATCAGTACTACTTGTATTAATGCTATTTCTCATTCTGTTATGATTTGACTTGAAGAAAATCTATTTTCTCTCACATTAATAAGATGGCTTGAGAAAGGATATGCCTTCGAATGATATGAACCTTAATCTTACAATACTTATCTCTAATAATTGTTTAATTTTCCCAGGAAGGGGCATTTTTCAGTTTTGTCAAAGCCCAATAAACTTTCTGTCTTCTGCAGATATTGATGAATGTGCCTTAAGGACTCACACCTGTTGGAATGATTCAGCCTGTGTGAACTTGGCAGGGGGATTTGATTGCCTCTGTCCATCTGGACCCTCCTGTACAGGTGATTGCCTTCATGAAGGGGGCCTGAAACGGAATGGCCAAGTATGGACACTGAAGAAAGACAGATGCTCTGTTTGCTCCTGTAAGGTAAGTTCCTATGAGATTTGCTAAGCACTTCTACCTTGATTTGGTGATCATGTCTGCTCTGGATAAAAGTCTATCTAAAGAAAACTACATTAATTTCAGATTTATAACATCTCATCCCAAGTTTTCTTGATTTCAACATGTCCTTGAAAGTAGGAAGATTTTTGTTCTTATGATTAAACCTTTCATTACCAGAAATTATTGGTAGTCTATTGGAAATATCACTTGGCGCTCTAATAATACCTTTCATCCTCCCTTGACCTAACCAATTTGTTTTACAAGGAGGTTTGCACCATGTAAATCTAGTGTGAGAAAATAGAACAGATATTTTCCCTACCTTTCATCCTTTTGAAATCAAGAAGAGGCTGCAGGGTATAATACTCATAGATAAGTTAAAAACTACAACAATAACAACAACAACAATTGTTGGATGTTAAAATACATATTCCTAGCTGCTCTGCTTCTCATATGAATCTGATGAGCTTATAATTTCTGCATTTGTCTTTACATGGGTGGGGGCAAGCACCTCTCAAAAGGAAGCATTAACTAACTGCCTTACCATGGAGCTGGTCATTCCCTGGCTGTTTAGGCAGGAATGTCAACGATTGATAATCCTTATATCTCTAGATGTCTTGTTCCCATTCTTGATATCCACAAGCTGAAAACAATCCAAAACCATAGGAGAAGCTGTTGCCACAATTATATTTTCATACACTGCCTCACCACTAGAATCCAAATAGAAACAGATCCAATCAAATATCTTGGCAAATAAAGTTGGACAGTATACAAATTTTATAAATAAATAAATACTCTATAAGCCAGCAGTGTGAAACAGCTGCCAAAAGAGCTAATGTAGTTCTTGGCTGCATTAGAAGAAGCATAAGATGAAATCCTTATTCCCCTCTACCCTACACTAGTGAGACCACACCTGGAATTCTGTGTACAATTCTGGCATCACATTTTCAGAAGGATATTGACAGGTTGGGACAGATCCAAAGGAGGATGACAAAGATGATACAGGGATTTAAGGACATGCCCTATGAAGACAGGTTGAAAGAATTTGGCATAGTGTAAAGAAAAGACCAAGGGGAGACATGATATCAGTATTCAGGTACATGATCGGGAAATATTTTCCATTACATCAGAGAAACTAGGACCAGAAATAATGGATAAAGTTGCAACTACCTAGATTCCACTTGAATATAAGGGGGAAAAAAATCTTCCCAATGATAAGAACTGTACAACAGTGGAACTGTTTAGCTATGGAGTTTGTGGTCTCTTCCTCTTTGGAGGATTTGAAGAAGAAACTGGATTGCCTCCTCTCAAAGATGGTTTAATTGATTTTCCTGCACACTGCAGAATGTTGAAAGAGATGAACCTCGTGGTCCCTTCCAACTCCACAACTGTATGATCATATGATTTGTTTAATGTAAGTAAAGTATTAGCTGGTTTCTTCTTTATAAGGAAGGTGGAACATAAAGAGAACTTGAAGAGAGTGAGGGAAAACAGGAGAAAGGCACTATCGGTAAACTATCAATATATATTAAAATTGGCCCTTAAAAACAAGCTGTCACTCTATAAATATATACAGAGATTTGTGTTCCATATTATCTATTCAAGCAATATTATTGCTGAGTAAAGTTTTAATAGTTTATAAAATAACTTATGAGTAAATGAAGAAAGAATTGATAAGAAAGAAATATCTATATAAGATTCCTAAATTTATTGCTTTGGGGTTGTGGCAGTAAGATTTTAAATTGTATTTATTTATCCTCAAAATAATTGTAAAACAGATTATGCCATGTCTAACCAAACAAACCTGGTTTTGCCATGGGACTCTGTTCTGAGTGCACTCAACCTATGAGATTTGTATGGGAGCAAAAAAGAGTAAGTTACAAATGGCACTGTTGTGAGCTATGATTAAAATGATCTAAATATAAATATAATGTCTGCATGATGATATAAAGGTAAAACTTTGAATAAAGATCAGGGTTTTTTTTCCCAAATGAGTGACATCTTGATTATAATTTATTTCATCCCATGATAGTTCATTTATAAAGTCAGCAGTGGATTTGAAATCTCATGATGCCTGTTTGATTGTTTATTACTGTTTTTATGCTGTATTCAAATCTTATGGGTTTGCATTTTATGTTCTCTTTTTATTGTCAGTTAGTGAGTAGCTTATAATTACTATGAAAGAAATTAATTGAAAGAAATCAATTAAAAGGAACAAAGTGCAAGACTTCTTACACCGTTCTATAATTTGACTGTGGAATCCTGTTGGCAAGCTATTTTTTTGAAATGAAAGACATATGAACCTTTCAGTTCAACTGAAGTAGTTCTTTGGATCTTTGCCCTACTGTAGATCTTAGAATTCACATCTGTCAAAACCATTGTCTGAATATATCTGATGACATGGACCTCTGATGATTATAGTTTCTCTCAGCATTCATCTGCATGATCAGTGGCAAATCATATGTTTCCAAATTCTCAGGTCCTCCTTTGACTTGAGAGAAGGATCAGTGCCAGGCTGATGGAGCCCTAGGCCTCCTTAATCAGCTTCTTAAGATTTATCCTAGGGTGAATCAAGACTAGTAAGCAGAAAGCAGGGAATATTGATATTGGTAAGTAGCTAATGACGACTGCGAAAAATAAGGATTTGAGGTAGTTTTCTCTATCGATCTATTGATCTATAGATCTATCTCAGTTACAAGAAAAAATACTAGTTGCAAGCAATGGGCAATAAGATCCTTACCCTCAATGGTCATTGCCTGTAAAATGAGCCCTGAAAACAAGGCCAAGAGACCAGCAGAAGGAAATTGGCACAGAGAGGCATCCAAAATCAGGAAATGAGCAGTACATGCTGCTGCTTCACATCCAGAACTTCTGAAAGACTATTTTCAGTTGTGAGGAGCTCTTTTGGACTTGCAGATCTAACCATGATGGACACACATCAAATACAATATAGAGTTAAAAGTAGTGATACAAAAGTATCAAGGTAATGGAAGCTAAAGAGATAATTTTATGAGTACCATTCAAATAATGGAATACTTGTTTTACAGCAAGACATACTGATCCACATAGATGCACTCACCTTTTCAGTCCCCACTTTTCTTTGATTGTCTTCTAAAGTTTTCCTTAACTAAATTCTGGAGAATTGCATTAAAAGGGTTAACTCTTTATCATTAGTCTGTTTAATTATCATTTTAACCACTGGAACACATTCATCTTAAACACATTTAGTTGAAATCTATGACCTTTTTTACAGTCATAAACATTAATCAAATTAATCAATATTTCTCTTTTGGTTTTCAATTTATAATTATCTTTTAATACAGTATTGAATTATTAATAAATAATACAGCATAACAGTGTTTGACAGTGTTCTACTATATATGCATGTATGTTACATTTCACTTTAGAATATTCAAAGAATTCCTCATCTATCTAAAATGTTCTCCTGAATTAAGATAGATTATTGTTACTAACTCTTAAAACTGTCCATAAGCACACGATAGAAATGAAATTTGGGTGGAAAATGTTCTAGATTATAGTTATGCTACAGTAAACTTCACACAGTAACAGAATTCCTACATTATGGAAAGCCATGGGTCTTTTAACCATAGGATGTTAAATAGGCCATGATTGGCTGGATTCACATCATGTTCTTAAGTCATAAATCATTTTATGAAACACGGAGACTGAGTTCATACTAATACTAATCCAGAATTCAATAAACCATTTGTAGCTTGGTATGATGTATGAACCTCAGTTTGTAGTTTGTTCTTGATTCGAAATACTAAACATAGTGAATTTGTGTAAACAAAACCTGCTTGAAATATTTGCTTCAACCATATTTGCTAGATCTGTCATTTTTCCTCAGTTCATGAAGTCTGTGAACATCTATTTCAAAATATTTTTGTAAACAATACTATCCTATATAGGCCACACTGTTTCTGATTCAATGACAGTTTGTTGGGAGCACATAAGTGTTTTTTGGTATGTTTGAGGAATTATGAAGTAACTACCAAAATGCACTATTTACAACACTTTAAATTATTAAGTTATTAATTGAGCCAGACTGTTACATTTTATTTAATATCATTTATCAACCAGCTCTAGTAAATTATGTATTTTTTCCTGTTGCAAATTGATTAAAATGGTGTCTGCTATCTTTCACATAAAGTTCTAGGAATGAGACCCCAACTTGTTAAAATTGCTTTGAAAACTCTTTCATGTATGCAGAAAAAGATAGTCTATCCCTTAGATGGTAGTATCCAATGGCCTAAGATTGAGATATATGAAAAATAACTTTTCTTCCTTTTCTAGAAAAGTGAAAGACAAAAGATTATTGCAGCTACCACCAGACATCATCTTGCAACTATATCTCTCTAACCATTATAGTATTTGTTCCTATGTATGAGGACAAAATATTTACTAAACATAATTATTCTAACAGAATAATTAGTTACCTGCTAATAACATTTGTAACCTTTAATAGCTTGAAACAAATTTATTTTATTTTATTTTATTTTACATCAAAGAACATCCTTCAAGCCACATGAGATGATAATGATGGTGATGATTGGATTGCCAGAGACTTCTCTTTAATCCTATTTGTTATTGTTGTTTTCATGGGCTAAAAGCATGAAATCTAGCTTTTAGCATTAATCCTCTGTATTTAAAAAGAATTAGTGGAAGAGAGAGATCCAGAAAAGATGACAGGCCCTAAAATGAGTGGATGAAAGTTTTAAACAGAGGTGGGCTAATTCTCCACAACTTGATTCAGTCTAGTTCAGCACATCAACATATTTGGCCATTTTCAATGCTTCATATTCTGAATTATAAAATATAAATTTTTAAACAAACAAGAACACAACATTTTTCCAGACCCAGTTCTAAATTGAGACCACATCTTGCTTCCAAGAGTATGTTATTATACTTAAAATAAACCTTTCCTTTATAGATAATTGATGCCCTGTTGAACTTCACTTGAAATCTTT